TGTGTGTGTGTGTGTGTGTGTGTGTGTGTATGGGGGCGGTGCCAAGACCTGGGGGGGGGGCTGCTGAGACCTCATGCTGGATTGAGGGGGATGCTGAGACCTCATGCTGGATTGCGGGGGCACTGAGACTTCATGCTGGATTGGGGGGGACGCTGAGACCTCATGCTGGATTGCGGGGGCACTGAGACTTCATGCTGGATTGCGGGGGCACTGAGACTTCATGCTGGCTGTGAGGGGGGTGACTTATGAAATCTCAAGAAAAGCCAGACTGTGGTGCTGCTGCTGTTTGGGAGATCTGCTCCTCCCCCCAATGCGTCTTCGTGGTCCAGCAGATAGAGGGGACCCTGCTCCACGTGGGGGGCCCCAGTGCTTTGGGAAAGGTTGGAAGGACTGGGCCACCTGAGGCCCCATAAGACTGGGAGCTTTCTGAGCTGGTAGCCACACGCACTGCTCCTGCCAGAGGCCTCGTAGGGTGGGGGTCCTGCTCAGCTCATTAGCAGGCGTGTACGCGCTTTGGATTTTTTCGGTAATGCTTTTACCTTAAGCTGAATGTTGGCTGCTTACAAAGAGCTGGGTAGCACTGTAGGAATCCCTGTGCTACCCAGCTCTGAAGGGAAAGCAAGCAGGTGTGCTAGGCAGCTGGCTTTGTGGGGGAATGGGGTGAAGGCAGGGAGCTGTGCACCCTGGGAATCTCCTGCTCAGAGGGGAGCGAGGTGGGTCTCCATTCAGAATGGAAACGGCCAGGACATCCAGTTGCAATTGCCCTGCACTGTGACAGAGAGTGCCCTTCCCTCCACCCCCTACTGCCACACTGGGGTCAGCACTGACTGAGACAGGAGAGCACCCCCTCCGGAGCCACCTCGCTGGAGCATCCGAACCAACACTGACTGCCCGGGAACAGCGACCCACTCCCTGAGTGTGTCTCCCATTCAAACGCTGACCCAGGGTAACCCTGCGTAGCAGTGCGAGCCAGGTTCAGGGTGATGCCGTCACGGTGCGCAGTGACATTGGCAAAATGACTTCAGGGTTTGTTTTTCCAAACAGATAAACAGAAAATTGGTTTCCAGACCCACCTGGCTGGGACTGCCTTGGGGCTGTAATTATGTAATAGAAGCTTATTTGCATAACAAAGGCTGATTCTATATTAAATGCTGTTGGTTTCTGGGTTAGAGGTTTGTGCAGGAGCCTGGAATAACACAGTTGAACTTGCCTCTTCCTTTCCACGAGGGATTATTACATGCAGTGTCAGGCGGTCTGAAATCAGGCTCTATCGCTGGATGCCCCAACGTGGCACCCTCCCGGTTTGCTGGGAAGAAAACACAGGCCAGTAAATATCTCCAGCTGCAAAGTGGGAGGGAAGGTCCCTGAGGCTGCAGTTTGCTGTCAGTACCGCCCTGTGGCCTGGGCCTTATCTGCTGCCAGTTGACCTCTGCGCGGAGCCCCAGCGCTGTCGTGTCAGCAGAGGACTCTGCTTGTGATCATAGATCACTGGGCTCCAACCTCTGCACATTCCTCTGTGGTGTGGAGCCAGGATTTCCAGCTCTTTCACTTGAACTCCTCACCCCTTTCCAGACCCCCTTGTTAAACTGCATTCCTCATCCAGCTGCAGCCTCATCTCCTTCCCGCATTCCCCATCCCCCTTAGGTTTCCCCACATGACTGCAAATCCTCTGCTAGTGTCAACAACCCCCCTTCCCTGGCAACATGGATTCCCTGTGCCCAAGTGGAGAGGAGAGAAGACAATAAACCAGAGAATGTGTTTTGTAGCATAGAGTGAAAGTTACAGATGCAGGCATTATATCTGTAACTTTCACTCTATGCATCTGAAGAAGTGAGGTTTTTACCCACGAAGGCTTATGCCCAAATAAATCTGTTAGTCTTTAAGGTGCCACTAGACTCTTTGTTGTTTTTGTAGATACAGACTAACACGGCTACCCCCTGATACTTGTTTTGTAGCATGTTTCACTCACAGATCTTGGGGGGGGCACCAGTTGGCATCTCCACCCCCATTTTAAAAGGGTGAGTCTGTCGAGTGGCAGACAGGAGTTGTGACTCGCTCAGTCACACAGCAGCCAGATTCCCAAGTCTCCCCTGCTTCCCCCCCAGAGCCAGAGGCAGAACCCAGGAGTCCTGTCTCCGGTCCCTATCCCTACTCTAACTCACTAGACCCCACGCCCCTCCCAGAACCCAGGAGTCCTGACTGCCAGTCACCAGCCTTCTAACCACTAGCCCCCATGCCCTTCCCAGAGCTAGGAGCCCTGACTCCCAGCATCTTGTGCCAGGTTCTGCAAAGCCACACAGGGTAACTCTACACTGCAGCTGGGACGGAGGGTGCTTCCCAGTACAAGTAGACAGACAAACCCTAGCTCTGCTGGAGCTAGTGCACCAAAAATAGCCTTGTGGGCTCTGTGGCACAGACAGTGGCTTGGGCTAGCTACCCAAGTACTAGCCTGAGCCGCTGCTTGTGCTGCTAGTGCGTTAGCTTGAGCACAGCTAGCAGGTGTCTGGCTACCCATGCTGGGAAGCACCCTCCCAGCTGCAGCATAGACACACTGAAGGTCCCTGGCCCTGCCTAAAAGAGTTTAAAATCCCAATATGGGGAGGCGAAACTGAGGCCCAGGAAGGGGAAAGGACTAGCAGGTCAGTGGCAAAGCTGGGTAATAGGTCTCCTGGCTCTGAGGCTGGTGCCCAACCCACTGCCTCTATACCACATTTTCTGAGGTCCCAGTTCCAAAGTCCAGACGCTTGTGGGGGCCTGAGCCCAGCTCCGGCAGCAGCGACGGATTTCTGCCCTGGGTTCCAAGCTGGAGGCAATTTGGGAGAACCCCGGAGCTGAGCTCAGCGGTCCCAGTAAACAAGTCAGCAAGGATGATTCATAGTGAGGAGCGATCATGAGACCCGATCAGAGCGGGAGGGAGAGGGGCCTGCAGTGAGGCCGCCAGTGGCATGTGCATTGCGTTAGTGTTTGCCTGGTGTTATTATCCTTATAGTTCTGTGTTACTGGTAGTGCAGGAACCCCAGCCATGTGGCAGGCATTACAGTGCAGACACAGAACGGTCCCTGAGCCAGTGAAAAGGGGCTGCAAGAGAGGCAATAGAGAGCTAGCGACGGTCACCTTCTCACCTTTTACTCATTGGCCGAGCTTGCGAAGACCTGATGCGTGACTTGGTGGTATTTCCATGTCTGTCTGTTACAGGGTCACTTTTGAACATTGCACCCAATCACTTCCAAAATTTCTGGGCATTTCTAGGCATGGATGGAAAATTGGAAAAGTGAAAAGCGTGGGGGGGGCGGCATGGGGGAGAAACGGGGAAGACATGAAGCTCCTGACATCTGAATAGCAAAGCCAAGGCTTAAGCCTCTGCAACTGGCTGTAGATTGAACAGCTGGTTGGTGGTACCATTAACTCCTTCCAGCATAACAAAACCCCCGCCCAGGGCCCAGCATCCCAATAGCATGGAACATGGTGACACTTGGATGAATTATTTTCCAGACAAATGATGATGGTGGAGAGCAAGAAGGGTGGCACGCACACAGCCCTTGCACTTGGGGGAGAATGCGGGACCCTGGCGTGGGACGAGGGGAGAATGGTGGTCTCACAGAAGCCCTGCCAGGCAGGCAATGGGTAGAGATACGGGGTGACCCTGAAATAGAGGGGGCTGCAAGGATGGCACTTAGAGGCATGGGGGGGAGGAATGGAAAGACGCAAGGAAGCCCTGAGGGGGCAATGAATTCAGCTGATACAAGCGACAGTGTTTGACTGTCTCTTATTATTATTTTTAATAGGTGAATTATGGTAGCACCAAGGAGCTTCCTCATGCACCGGGACCCCGTGTGCCTAGCGCTGTACATTAGGTGTATTACGGTAGCACCGGGACCCCGTGTGCCTAGCGCTGTACATTAGGTGTATTACGGTAGCACCGGGACCCCGTGTGCCTAGCGCTGTAC